GGGGCCGTTGGGGGCCTGGTAGGGTGACGAAAGCCTCCATGTCCTGCCCATGAGCCCCCGTGCACCAAATGGCAGACGGGTGCTGCCTGGCCCGGTGCAGACAGGTGCGGGTGCTGCCTGGCCCGGTGCAGACAGGTGCGGGTGTTGCCTGGCCCGGTGCAGACAGGTGCGGGTGCTGCCTGGCCCGGTGCAGACTGGCGCAACTGTTGCCCCTTCCCCCGCAGCCTGCACTCGGCCGACACCGATGTTGAGAAGTGGTATGAAAACGACTTAAGCGAGTGGAGCACCAGTGGCAGCTTCTGCATCAGGAATAAAGGCGCCGACCCTGGGAAAGGTAATGCTGGTTCCATCGCAGGATTGGCAAGACGGGTTCTCTGGGCCAGGGACAGAGGCCTACAGAGACTGGGTCAGAGCCTTCAGCTGGGGAGAGTGGGGGCAATATTGTCAGGACCTAGGAGCAACGCCCCTCGGGCACCTGCAAGAGGGGAAAAGTGGCCCCCATCCCAAAACCTCGGTACTCAAGAGCCCCATGTGCACCAGCCACATTCTCCCCCTGCCTAACTCTGCTCTCTCGTCAGACCAAGACAGCACCGGCTCCTTCACGATTAACCTGGCATCTGTCGACTCCACTGTCCCGGTAAGTAGGGATGTATTGGCCCCTCCTCCTGGCACCTGCAGCAGCCCATGGGGCGTGCACACTCCGCTAACAGGAAGACGTGCGCTAGGGAGCCATCTGGTGACAAAGCTACTCAACTGACCTGCTTGGGTGGGTTGGAGAGAGACGTGTCTCTGTCTGGGCGGCGGCTGCTTTCCAGGGGGGCCGGGACTCTGTGGATGCTATTTGCAGAGGGTATGTCTACACTACCCTCCTAATTCGAACTAGGAGGGTAATGTAGGCATACCGCACTTGCAAATGAAGTCCGGGATTTGAATTTCCCGGGCTTCATTTGCATGAAGCCGGCTGGCACCATTTTTAAATGCCGGCAGTTCGAACCCCGTGCCGCGTGGCTACACGCGACACGGAGTAGCTAGTTCGGATTAGGCTTCCTAATCCGAACTAGCTGTACTCCTCGTGGAATGAGGAGGGTAGTGTAGACATACCCAGACTGGCTAATGAGTGAGCCATGAGCTCCCAGGGTGACTTTGCAGCTCAAAGGGCTGAAGCCATTGCACTGCTAATCATCAGCAGCGGTCCTAACATATCTGGGTCACAGGGGCATCCCTAGACTAGCTGCCAGCAAGTAACACCATAGGCGAGCCAGGCAATTGGCGTCCCCACCTCCAACCCTAGGCGACCATCTAGTTCACCTTCATGGACGGGCCGTCCCTGCTAATCGCTAAATGGGATGCCACCTCGTGCCCCTCCCAGTTCCTCTGTGTGGCTCTCCCTGCACCCCTCCCCTCCCAGGCACCCGTCGCCCACGGCTAGGATGCACCAAGTGGGGTAGCAGAGAGGGGATTTTACCTCTGAATTTGGGCCTAGTGCAATCATTTGCTATGACCACAAAGGGAGAGAGGTGGGGGGAGGGGTATTTTTTCCCAAGGGAAATAACAATGATTCCTGCACGACCATTTTCAATGAAGAAAAGAAAAAATATCCCATTGCCCCGCCCAACCCCCCTCACCTGCAGTGGGGAATGAAAAATTCCCCACCACTATTCTCATCTAAGAAAACAGCCATTTGGGCCATTTTGTGCCCAGCTCTGCTCACTCCCCACTTCTCCCGCCACCGCAGGTTCACATCCAGCGGCCGGAGATCATTGTGACCCAGCTGTGAGCGGGCTCAGGCCCCAGAGCACCCGGGAGGAGCAGAAGACGCGGCGTGAGACACCCCAGATCTCCGGAGAAGAGCAGAAATGTCCCCAATGCCACAGCCAGGGGACGGGAACCTGGAGGCGAGACCAGGCGGGGCCGGAGCTGAACAGTCTGGGGACAACTGTGGGGTCTGCTGGGCCTGGCGCTGGAACGTCATTCCTGGGACCCTCTGCACCTCAAACATCCTCCTCCCTCGGCAGCTGCCCTTCACATCCGTCTGGTCCTCAGGCCCAGTCAGGGCCCTGCTGTTGCAGCCTCGGCAGCGCTGCCTGATGGGCTCGCGCAGACCCCTGCAATGGCAACGGAGCAGCTGATTCGCCTCTCGCTCTGGTGTAAATCAGGAGTAATTCCACTGGGGACAATTCTCTCCCCCCTCCCCCGCTCTTCAAGGTGTAAATCAGGAACAACGGAGCCGGGCCAGTTCCCCTCTGGCTCACCAGGAGCTCGCTGGGCTCCATCGGGCTGGTTTTGCCCCACCTTGCCCTGGGGCAGCTGGAGAATGTGAGCTCAGGTTCACCCTGCCCAGCTGCCTCCCTGGGCTCCCCACCCCTCCCCCAACTCCCCCGCTGCCTCCCTGGGCTCCCCACCCATCCCCCAACCCCCACTGCCTCCCTGGGCTGAGCCACTGCCCTGCATCCGTTCTAAAGGAAACACTGCGTGTGCCCGAAGCACAACACGGCCCCTCCCGCCACCCACCCACAGGCCAGCCCTGCCCTGCACATGCACTTTAGCCCATGTCAGGCACCTGCCGCCAGGGCTGGCGTGTCCCCTCCCCCCGCTCTGCTTCT